GTTAACTAGTTAATTAAACCTAAAACAACGTTTATGAAGTTTAACTTTGCATGCCTATGTTATTAATAAACATGATGCATGATGTGATTTGTCTGAATCAACTTGTGTTGTAAAAGAAACACTCAAGGAGCATCAGCGATGAGAATTATTTATAAACATTATATTCCATAGTAATAAATAAAGAATACACATGAAAACAAAAATATAAGTACTTAAATGGGTCACCTTTTTTTTGCTGTCACTAATTTTTAATACTAATGGCACTACTGCACTAAATTTTTTATTTAATTAAACAATACACCAAAAAAACAGAATAATAATGTGCAAAAGCAGACAATGTCTTATAATTATCACAATTTTTCTGACTTTCTGACAATGCAATAAGAACCATTGAAAATTCAGATAAGCTCGTCAATGTGTTGCACGCGAGAATAAAGTTTGAACTGGAAGAGAAATAGACAATTCTCTGTACATGAAATGACAGTATATAACACATCATTTGATAAATTAACATCTTAGTTTTCTATTGGTTATAAATAATACAGTATTAACCATTAGCAAGAACTATGGGCAGTTTCTAAAAAAAGAAGATGTGACAGGTGGGCATGGAAAGTGGGGTCTTATTTTCTATTGTATGACTCTATAACCAAATAAGATTGAAGGCTATAAACATTAGGCTTTGTCTGAGCAATGACATTATACTGAGTAATTTACATTAAATTCCATACTTCTTGGAAGAATGGTAAATAAATTAGAAAAGAGGGGGTACCTAGAGAGCAAATGTCACAATTCTTACACTAGGGGAAATTGAGAATTTTGTTAAATAGTGTTTTATAAAATTAAGAACTTAAAACTTATACAATGTAAAAAGTTGGGTTATTAGCTATATTTTTATGCCAAGTTTATTTATTTACCATGATAAGAAAGTAGTTTAATTAAATTTTGAATATAACTCACTAAAACCTCCTGACATGCACACAAAATTATGCCCATTCTGAATAAGTTAACAGGACCCTCAAGTTTAATGTGATTATGTGGATGAAGCATTTTTTGCATAATTTACATGTGACCACATAAACACTGCATAAATAAAGTCTGAATTTGTAGACTTAGTAAAGTTAAGTCTAGGTGTATGTTATTAGATTTATAGCTTTTAACCCAATTATGGAACAGTTTGTTTCTTGTTGCTCAACAAGTGATGTCTGCTGGCTAGACAATCTGATAAATAGGCTAAAAACTGTGTTTGGTGATGTTATTTCACAAGAGTATTAAACTGATACTGATGAAGATTTACATTAAGTATATCTAACATCATTTTAAATGTTAATGTTTAAACTGTTTTCTCTTTAAATAAAAGGTTGTATAATTCTAAATTTTGCTACATAATTTTTACTTTCTTCCATAATCACTGCATAATCAGGAATTTTATGGTCTATACTTTCAAACTGTTGACCACATAATTCTATTTTTTTTATAAACAAAATTTATGGCCCTGTATTATAAATCATAAACTTACAAAATTTAATGTTTTCACTTTGCTCAAGTTCTATTTCTAACTTACTCGTATATCTCCCATGCCATGACGTTGTTGGTATTGACCAATTCCACGTCCACGACCCCTCAACCCTTTCCTCTTCATCTTTTGTTCTCTAGTTTTAGCTAATACTTCATCAAGCTTTGCAGCTTCTTCTTTACTAATTACAGATTCTGCATGTAATAGAAAGTGTTTGGTAACAAAGGATTACAAATAATATATATATATACGTATATCAAGAAAACATAACATACAATATCACCAATGTAGTGGCATCCCCAATATGAAATTTAAAACTTATACAATATGGTAGTATACCTTAAGGAAAATACACAGACAGACATTGTACAGATTTTGATGAAAAGCTCTTAAATATGACTTTAAAGGTTAACATTGTGAATTAATAATTTAAAAAAATCTTAATCTTGCACACATTTGTGATTTTTAGAAACTGACAAAAAACTAAGTTCAACCTAAAATTAAAATTTCTTCATCTCCTTGGCTAATTTTTGGAATTAAAAAAAACTCTCAATTTTCAAATTAAATTTGTCCATGCTGGGCCTATCAAATCTAAACCTAAAGTTAATAAAACTTTAAGCTTTGTAACAACAGTTTATCAATATACTGCATATGTGTCACTTAACTGCAATAAATTATTTCAAATGGTTGATCTAGTTTATCCAAAGGAACTGTTGGAATTAGTCCCAATTCCTACCCATCTTACTTTTTTTTACTTGTTTTCTTCTCTCCATTCATTTAATGATTCTTAAAAAAGTCTTGACATCTATAAACTTGTATGTAAACTATGTCAATGATCTACAGTATCATGATAAAGGATAAAATAACCCAGGGATACAACAAAAAAATCCACAAACCACAAAAAATAAAAACCATACTTAAGCAGTTCCAACCTTTTACAAGAATATTTCTGAAAAGAAAATACTCTTTAAAAAAAATTACAAGTAATATATGGATTATTAACATTGCTGTTAAAGTGATATTCAACTCACGTAAAACTCAGTGATTCAAACCCACACAAATTCATATTATGCAATAATTAATAAATATCTATATATCACGAAATATCCTAAAAAGTAATTCCACTTAAAAAAATTAATCTACCTAGATTGTCAGGAATATTTTCTCTTTTTCTTGATGTTGATAAAGACACAACTGTGGGGCGCTCAGAGTGAAAGCGACCCCGTCTATCTTCTTTTTCATCTTGATTTTCTTCTTCACTTTCTTCTTCCAGTAAATCACTACTTTCTAGTTTTTCATCTGTAGGTACATCTTCAAACTTTATTTCAACCAAGTCCTGTTTCTCTGTCTCATTATACATTTTCTGGTTATCTCCATACTGCAAAGTACTAACTGAGTAGTCATCAGTTAAATCTGTTTCCACTTCACATGAATTTACAGTAGCTTCAAAACTTGCATTTTCATATACCTTAAAAAGAATTGTTTATTATTGTATCTACAATATCAATTCATGCAGGATATTTAATAATCTAGATGTATAGGAAAATACTTTTAACTGTTTAAATAAGGATAAATGTACAAATTTGATTTCAAGAACAATAACTTTTCAACCCAAGCACTTATAATTTTTTTTTTAAATAATTTTCATCAATTCATTTATGTTTAAGTACCAATTAGCTAAAATTAATTTTTGGTATTTATATAAATCCTTTACAAAAAACAGGTAATAAATAGTCAATCATTATTCAACAATACAAGTACATATTAAATATTTGTTTAAAAAAAAGCATTAACACCCTGCACGGATAAAAAGAAGTATACTCTGTGTACAGCTGAATACGAGCATACATGAAGCAAAAGTAATGCAGGAAAAGCAACTTAAGCTAAATAATTAGTGAATTTATCATACTCTAGCAGAAACACTGCTCTATGGGTGGCTGTTCGATCAGGATTTTGGCAAGCTGAACAGTGTGCTTCTCTGTCAGGGAATTGCTCCCGACTTGTTCCAACTGCATCTTGGGCAAGCAATTTGATGTGCTTCTGTATTTCAGGTTTGTTCCTGGCTTCTTCTCACCATATCTTGCCTCATAACTTGGTGAGCAAGCCTATCTCTTTCTTTCTCTAACTTACATCCTAACATTTCATTTTCTTTCTCAAAGTTTCAGACTTCCTCCATGATAAGTCACTTTTCCATTTTTAAATTTTTGGCATACTGATTTTCGATGTTTTTGATCACTTTATACTCAGACTGAAGTAAAAAATATTTGTGTAACTTACAAAAACTGAGTTACTATAAAATTCTTGGAAATTTGTATGCAACAAACTTCTTACAAAAACTTGCAATTCCTTTGGTCACAAAACAATTCAATTCATAGCATACACTTGGATTCTCCAGCAGAAAAAAGTCACTGACATATCACAATGGTTCTCCACTAGGAAGACTCGCTTTTAAATTCTGCATTAAACTCACTTTAACACTATTTTAGAAGTTTTATAAAAAAATTGATTTCATTGATAATAATAATAAATGCACAAAATTAATGTACCTTATTAAAAAGGAAAGAAGTACCATTTCTCCAATAAGGAAAAATGTTATAGTGTCCTATTATTTTCTTAATTTTAGTGAGGGTCTATTTTACAATTATTTTAATTTTGGTATAATATAAAGCTGTTATCGACTTATTTCTTCAAAACAAGTGGACACATGCACTAATTAAACTTTTTTTTTAAGAGACCCAATTGTAATGAAACATTGTTAGGAACTTCTCCTTATGATGTTAACAAATCGTGCAAAGTTTCATCCAAGTCGGACTTAAACTGTGGGAAGAGTTTAGCAGACAGACGGACATTAGCCTCTTATATATATACTTAATAATTCAGTCACTGAAAACTACCATTAGAAAGATAACTTTAAAAGATACAATAATATAAAGACAATAAAGTAAATATTTCAAATTTCTGTTTAGAGGAAGAAGTTTAACCCCTTACAGTTTAGTGTCTTGCATCTTTTAATAGGACAAATAATATCATCAAACATTTTAAAATTCCTGACTGATCTCTCCCTTCAAATTACCTACAAGATCAAATCATAACTAAAATGTTTGAAATTAAAATTTTGTTTAATCTAGATTTTATTAGCGTATATTTTGAATACATTTAAAAAAAAAATCCAAAAACCATAATTTCAGCATTTTTTTATTTACAGTTGTAATTTTTATTTCAGGAGTAGAAACATTTAAAATTCTTGCTACATAAATAAAAAATGTCAAAACACAAAACAAAGCTACAAAGTGTATCAATCGTTCAAGTTTGAGAAATGCACAAAGGCTGTAAACAGCCTCCACCGAACAATCCACAGGGCTGTTAGTGGGCTGATGCCCTATCTCAATTTTTATTGACTGAATTGTACTGTTTTTCTAAAAACAAAACAGTTTCACTGGCTAAATTGATACATTCTCACAACATGCTATTGAACTATGATGACCTCTAATCGATATGGCAGTCTTTGCAGCCTTGTGTCAGGTAGAAAGTAGTTCATCAAACGTAACTCACAATCTGCTAAAACTCTCTTGCTAGTCTGAATTCTCTAATAATTAATATTCAATTTTGTAATTTAAACATTCAAATGTTGACTTCGTCCCTTAGTTACAATATTTGATGTCTACATATAACAATATAGTTCGAAAATGTCATATTATTGCACGTATAATATTGCTAGTATAGGCCAGTTAAAATTAAAGTCATAGTAGCCAACAGGGTCACATGAAGTAATCTGTGAGCTTGTCTGTGTACACAAATAATAGTTGATTGCATGGCCAACACCATGACAAATAATAACAGGGTCTAAGTTCAAAAGTATTTATTTTTTGGTAAGAATAAAGGACCAGTAGTGGGCCTAAAACAGTGAGTATCATGACAGACCTGACAAAGGCTCCAGCAAGTCCTCACAAAACTCATTTTATGGGGACTTTCAAGTATCAGCATGATGATGCTTGTTTAAGGTGAAGGACTAGTGATTGTAAATGTTTGTTGTATATTTCTAGCTCAAATGGTTTGAAAACCGTGAATTTTAGAGGTTGGTGGTGTCAAAAACTCATTGCATTTCTTGTTTTACAGGTTCCAAGCTTCTGAGCTAAGAAAATCACTAAATACATTGATAGAAAGCTGGGATTGTTTTATTTCTCTCAACCTATTTGCTGTAGAGCTCCCTTTCTTTCTTAAATGGATTGTACATATTGTAAAGCTCTATTATTATTTTTCAATCCACATCTAACATATTTTCTCTAAAATAAAACAAAATCTACTGATATAAACCTTTTTTTTAAGTTTAAATTTTTCTACATTCTCCCTTTCTTTCTTAAATGGATTGTACATATTGTAAAGCTCTATTATTATTTTTCAATCCACATCTAACATATTTTCTCTAAAATAAAACAAAATTTACTGATATAAACCTTTTTTTAAGTTTAAATTTTTCTACATTCATTTACCTTCTTAATCTACTACTTAAATGAAACTGTCAGAGATCCTTAGGAAAAATTTGCATTTTTGATTGACTTAGGTTGTCTAACTTATAGACATTTGCCAACAGCATTAATTGGTTGATGTATGAACCAACAGAGAAATTATTTTTTAAACCTATTCACAAATTAATTTTTAATTTTCAAAACGTTTTCACTAAAAAAACTGAATTTATTATGAAATGTTTTGTACTTTAATCAAATATGATTGAGGGTAAGCCTTGAGAAAAATTCTCTTTATGGTTGACTTAGATTGAGTACCCTCAACAAATTTGATTTAGTAAATGTTTACCATGTTCTCTCAGTATATATGTTTACACAACCACAACTTCTCACAAAATTAATATGGAGATTTATGTACTTTTTTATGCTCTATACAGCCTAGTTAGGTTTTTCACAAACATTAAGATAAGAGTTTAATGCTCACAAACCTCTGATGAAAGTATGACAGAACCATCTACTGGGTCATGACTGAAACTGTCAAGCTCAGCATCTACTTCCACCTCTAATACGTCCTCCTCGCTATAATGGAAAAACAAACCTTACTTTGATATTTTTTAATGAACACTTACAGTAGCTAACACTACAGAGAAGTTTGTAAGTTTTATAGCTATTTTCTATTTTTACATATATAATAAGGCATGCAGACATTCAGAGTGTAATGTACAGATATATACTTCACTTGTTTACTACAGAATATTTGATTCCAATAGCTTACAAAACAAAAATTGTTAATAGAAGAAAATAGTTACTATATGCAAATAACTCATATTGGGTTTGCACATCTCTGTTTACTTATCAGCAAGAACATAACAATAGTCTAGAATAACTATATTTTAAATACTTTAAGGACCAGGTCCATAATTTTAAATGCTAATTCTAAGGGAAACAAGAGAAAGATGAACATGATTCACAAATCACATTTCTTAATACAGTGTTAAATCAAAAATCAGAAACATATGGGTACATTAAAGAAATGACCTAGATCCTCAGGAAATAAAAATGTTTACAACTACTTTTTGTGAAATTCTGGCTTGGTCTGGAGAAGACCTGATGACAAAATTCACACGTCCTGTGCTACACCTCTGGTTGTAATGTAAGATTATCAGTCAGACATGTTTCAAAAAGCAACAAACTTAAACAAAATCAGATTTAAACTGTAACAAGCCTTTTTAAAAATATGCAATGTTACACAAGATGTCATTTGATTTTCTATTGGTTATAGGTAATATATAAAGAAACGTAAGAGAGAGCTATCAACGAATTGTGAAAGAGAGGATGTGACCGGTGGGTGTGGCAAGAGGGGGTCTGATTTTCTATTTGATATCTCTGTAACCAAACAAAATTGAAGGCTATAAAAATTATGGTTTGTTTGAGCAATAATGATTTTATAGAGAGAATTTTAAGTTTAATTTTGTACTTTTTTGAGGGGTGGTGGATAAAATAAGGATGATGAAATGTTAATAGAAAATGTGTCACGTTGGTCACACTAGTGGAAATTCAGGATTTTTTTTATATTGCCTTGTAGAATTAAGAACTTAAAACTTGTATACTATCAAAATATGGATTATTAGCTAAGATTTTATGCTATTCTAACTGGTATAACATAAACAAAAAGTAGTTTTTTAAAATTCTGAATGCAAGACACTAAAACCTTGTGTCATGCACATTAAAGGATACCTGGGGTGATAGGGTTAATAAGCCCAGACCATGAGGCATCGCGTTTTGAAGAGCAAGAAGGACTAAAGCATTATGTATGGAAGCCTCATCGTCTGTGTTTAGACCCTGGAATTCTTGATTGTTGGGATATGCACCCCATCCCTGAAGCGAGGCATTTGTAAAAAGATGGATCTCTGGTTGAGGTGGAGGCATATCAATGCTTAGATTCTTCAAGGTTCACAAGTGGGTCATTCCTCAATCTGAGTTGGCATTTTTTACTAGACTTGTGAATGTCCAAGTTCATTGTAGTTGGCTTCTATCTGCACTTTGCCATAGTGGTGGCGTCACACCACTATTGGTGTTTTTTGTGCACAAGGATCAGTTACTACAGTTTAGGGTTTTTACCTTTGGACTAACATCAGCACCACATGAGTTCTGCCAAATCATACAAAGCTTTTTCTCGTCACTTCCATTCTCTAGCACTGTGCACACACCATTCCATGGATGACTGGTTACTACTGGCACCATCTCGTCAATTGTCAGAAAGTCACACCCAGACTCTACTTTCAGAAACAACCAGAGCTGAGATATCTATTCTTGCTCTAACTCAATATATCGTCAGTCTGGGTATTTGTTTTTCATCACGTGTCTCAGTCAGGTTCAGCTGACTCCCAATCGGCTACACACTATGGAACAGGAAGCCGAAATCTTACTCGCCTCTCCTTCTCCCACTGCATGGATGGTTTTTCTCTTTTGGGAATGTGAGCATCACTCGATTCCCTCGTGCCTTTGGGATGAGTGCACAAGAGATCTTTTCAAGAGATCATAAACCTTGGTTCACTGGATTCCACAGTTTCCTTATTCAAGATCATTCTTCGATCTCGAGAGGTTGTTAAATCAGAACACTACTAAAATATGGGTTCCTCTAGATGAGAAAGATTGATGACTGGACACTAATCTCTTGTCTTATTAGGTCAAATAACTGATGGGAATAAAACCCTGAAAGAACTAGCATGACTCTTTCTCTACCTCCAGACCAACCAAACTCTGATAGCCATAGAACTATAAGTTCCAAAATCCGAGGATCTGTGGGAGATGGAACCCTATATGTTGGGTGGATATTGGTGGCGAAGATGTGAACTGAATCACTAATCCTGACTGAAGGACCAGTAGTGCCCATGGATCTGTGGTTAAGGTTACCACACGTCCAGAAATTTTCGAAGTCGAGCCCCCACAGACACCAAAGACATACAATAATCGGATATGGACTGAATCTATTCTGGGTACCAATGTACTGAGGGGCTGATGTCAGGGTTTGGGATCCTTGAATAGGAACTATGACCCCCTATAGGAACCGATGAAAGTTGAGATGCCAACAAAAGCAGGGATGAATGTAGAAGCTGACAATCGAACCAATGTGCATGTTAACAATAGTTCCAGCTTGTCATCAATGAAGTTGGTGATCGTGAGTGTCTTTCAACAAAGTTTAGTGTTAGGAAAACAACACATTATATTTTAGAGTTGTACGTCCATAAACTTACAGCTGTCCTTCCAAGGAACACTGATCTGTTCAGGTTAACTACAAACTATGCCTTAGAGGAGCGGATGTATTATTTGAGAGTCAGAATATGCTTCCACCTGGCAGTGGTAGGATAAATCATGTAGTTCCATCAACTGAAGTAGATAAGGCATAGCCATCCCTTCATGTAACTAAGCAGTAAACCTCCCTGCATGAACCATTGGTCCTTGGGATGGAGAGAAAACTAATATCAAGTAAGGTGCATGCTCAAAAGCAACTGGGAAATAACCCAAAACATCACACTCTCAATGAACCAATTGAAAAAACAAATCAGAGGCAGTTTATCCCAAAGTGGCCTCTTTTTTTATTTCTTTTAAAGACTGTTCTTATTTCTGTTGTTTGGAACAACATTTTGTCGGGCAAGTTTGTTTTGTTAAAGCAAAGAAATGCTGGGTTATCTGCTGTGTCCAGTATAGGGAATCAGACCCCGGAATACAATATTGTCTTGTCCGTAAACTTACCACTGTCCCATAGGAGGACTGAGAAGCCATCAACATAATAAAAAAAGGGTGCAGGAAAAAGTGAATCCAACTTCTCTCCAGAATGTCCAGGAACACCCTCCATTGCAACCTCAGAACTCCCTGGAGGAACACCACCAAACTGAATATATGTCTCCATCTCACACAATGAATAAAATCACTGACAGTCCCAGCTGAGAGTGATTCCCCCCCCCCCAATTTTTGAGCAAGTTAGATATAAGAGGTGGGATAAAGGAGACCTTATTTGACACCATGCCAGAAATAATTATCTGGGAATTCATACCAACTGGAATTGTTTTTTATGAAAATCAACTAGGTAACTAGGAGAATACTCAAAGTATCTCCAAACGATCATAGCACTGAGAAACCCATTAGTAACACTTTGTCGAGAAAAAGTGATAACTTTATCTGAATAAGGTGCTTATATACAGTAACAGGAGAGAGGGCACTTTGACATAGGTGGAGAGTGTCAAGGGCAATTAAGTAGGGTATAAAACACTGGAGCAAGTGAGAAAAAATCAGACCAATGCTTACATGGGCAAATGAAGAAACTAATAGCTGTAGTGTGAGGGGACATATGTTTTGGAAAAAATGCTTGAAGAGAGCACATTCAGAAAACATCTGCACTAGAGAACATCTTAACAAGAAGTGATAGTTTGGTAGAATTGAATAGAGAGAGTCACGTGAGTCAGGAATCTAAGCCATCTCATTCACTATTATAATCTCTAAAATAAAATGCTTAAAACCAGCCTTTATGTTTAAAATATTTATCAAAATTTTGCATAAATTCTCTTAAATTAACTGCATTTATCACATCTGAATGCAATCCAATCCAAAGGCCAACTACCTTGTTAGAAAACTAAGCTGTTTTAGCTGAAGATGACTCCTACCATGCCAAATTTGATATTTGTGTCCCCTAGTCTTACCATTCTCATCATTAAATGTGAAAAAAGATGATGCATCAGCACTATCAATTCCTTACCAATCTTAAACATCTCAGTCATATCCTCTCTAACTCTTCCCACATATATAGGTATTCTTGTTCAATTCTGCCCTTTATGTACAACAAATTTTTTTTGCACTCCCATGTACCTTATGATCATCGTGGTTCAACTGCGTCTTGTATGTAACTCATCATGCAACAACCCTCCACCAACAAAAGTGTGACACACCCAGATTAACAGGTTTCCTATATATATGTAATAAATCTGAAACCTGAAGCGAGTTGAAAAAATCCAAACAATGCCCACACTTATGTGGTCCTTTAACTCTTAAATGCACCTGTTGTGGGTTTGCTTTACTGCACTACAAAAACTACTAGGTGAAATAGTTTGAAAAAACAGAAAGAAATATAAAACACCACAAACTATTTCACTGTGTTTACAATCACTAGCTTACAATAAAACTTTTAACCATCCTAAATTTATAAACAAGCAATTTTTTTTGGTATTGTCAATCGGAAAATTCCATTTAATATATATAACAAGTTTTGAAACTCTTTTATATTAATTACACATATATTTTTTAGATTTCTTTTGCAATTTTCTTTGCCCTTAGGCTGATAAGCAATTTGTAACACTTAAATGAAGTACATTTTCCTACATCTAATACTTACCCTAAAGTTTCTTCTGCATAAGTTTCAGTGACATCTACCAGTTCTATATTTTCATCTGCCTCAATCTGTACTGGATTTCCTTCCTCATCAACATATTCCACATCATCTCCTTTTGTTTAATAAAAATATAACAATATAAAACGTTTGTAATCATAAATAACATAGGTATATTAAAATTACAAAACCAGACGTCAAGATTAAAAGTGTTTTAAGATCAGTCGAAATTGTATAATTTCGCAAAAACAAGTGTAACTGATGTACAACACACTTTACTAGGTTTTTCCTTTTCTTGCCTTACGTAGTTTTTTTGTTTGAATCATCTGCCAATACATATGTCACATTACTTAGCAATTATAATCTCTGCCTGCTAAATAGATTCTCTCTCTCTTATTCCACAAGAATTAAATAAAGTAGTGACAAGGTAATTTAATTGAGTTTCACTTTAAGAGTAAATTTCATCAAAACTTAAAATAATTATTCATTTTCCTAGAATATTTTTGCCACAAGGATTGTTATTGCAAGCATTCTGCTAACATGTTGATTGGTTGGTTGGGTTGTTGTTAAGCACAAAGATACACAACAGGCTATCTGTGCTTTGTCCACCACATGTATCAAGACTCAATTTTTAGCACTGTAAGCATTCAGACTTGCCACTGGGAGGTGTTAACATGTTGAGAAAAAATATTAAAACATCAATTATTAATTAATGATATACAGATATATTTTAATGGTTTGGAAATACATACCTATACAATTTTAGAACTTTAATCAAGATTTCATAATGAATCTTTTTTTGTAATAGTTACAATTGCATTTTGTATATAATGTAGAAAGATATTTAAAAGTAATGTTGTTTTAGTGCAATTTATTTTTATAAATCAATTTCAAAACAGAAAATCAATATATCTGTAAGTCTTACAATCTTACTTTCTGTTACTTCCTGAACCTTACAATGTAAAATAGTAGTTTTTAGCATTGTAAAAAATATTTTGAAAGAACCAATAATTAAACATCATACAAATCTCAGTTTGCCTCCAAAGCAATATTGCTAAGTAAATATGTCAATCCATAATTTGACAGTAACCAATGTAGAGCTGAACTATTAACTTGTTTAGTCGATTACCTAGAAATACCAATTACATTGATTAATGGCATCTAAAATAACTGTATAATCAAAATTAGGATTAAATGAATTAAAATCACAAAAAAATCAACTTATCAAGCTTTGCATTATTGATTATACAACTATACAGTAATTGGAATATTACCATTATGATTTTTCATTATTACTTTTGATTAATACAAAAACACTTTTTTCATGTGATATTTTTTATACTATGTACAACTCTATACAGGGTTGGTCAAGTCAACCAATTTCGTAACCACCATAAAAAAGTTAGGAAGTAATACTAAAGTTAACATTTTCAATGTAAGAAAATGTATTTCCGATAGACCTCCACTCACCCAAAGCTCTATCAATCCTGGTTTGCTATAAGCACACCAGTCTTTTATTCCCTATCAGTTTCACACCATTTCAGAATGTGCTAATCATGTGACTTCCCTCCACCAATCATACTGCACCATCTATACTAGCACAGCTAGTTCCCTATACTATTCTAGGACAACCCTCACTTTGAAGAATTGGCAGGTATAATCCAGAAAAACCAGCATATCTGTGAGGAGAAATGGTGGGAAGTGGTTGAGAGGAGGTAAGTACCTATTAGAAATACATTTTCAGTGTAAAAAATGTTAACTTCCGAAACTGTCTTACCACATTGCAAAGGTGGAGAGTCCAATGAAGGCACATCAATATTCAATCAAGTGGAAAGTGACCACACTGAAAGAACAGGTGTGCAAGAATACGAAAGAAAGCACACCTGTGTGGTGCAGTACTACTTCTGGAATAGGTATGCTATTCACCCAGCAACACAAAGAGGGTGGAACAGAATTAGTAGGCACCAATGCATTCAGAAAAAGAGACATACAGCACCAAGTTAGTAGAGAAGTGCTCTATAACTATAACTTGAAACAACACGGCATGGAAAAACATGGAAGGTCTAGTGTGTAAGTGACAATGGGCCCGAATGAGTACGTGCCAAGGTTAGAGCCTTGGGTTACATTGATGTATGTTATGTGCAGTCCATCCGGGCAAAACATCCAGTGGAAACACCTCGTATAAGACATTGTGATGAACAAGTGAGGTATTCCTGGAAAAAAAAACAATACAGAGAAAGTGCCTTCGATACATAGGATTATGAGAAAAAAAAAATTACAGATATGAGTGTGATTGTGAGGTTTGTCATAACCAGCCCTTTGTCAACATACATGTCATATATGTAGCAAGCCATAGTACCAAATACAGTGATAGTGAGCCCTAGTACGGTGACAAAGAAAAAAATAATAATTAGATGTGGCTAGGGCTAAAGGACCATGAATTGCATATGAATAGGCCAAGTGCAGTCCACCTAGGTAAAAAAAACATCTACGGGAAGTGCCTTGGGATATGTCAGATTATGCCAAGTGCTGTCCATCCTGGTAAAAAACATCCAGTGGAAGCACCTTGCTTAAATTCGTGAGATCAACAAGTGTGGTCCTCCTGGGCAAAAAACATCCAGAAATACCTTGGATATATAATAGTAAGGACAAGTGTAGTCTGCCCAAGCAAAAACATCCAGAGGAAACACCTTAGGGATACATCAGATTATGCCAAGTGCATCCATCCTGGCAAAAAACATCTAGTAAAAGCACCTTACATAAGATATAGGGATCAATAAGTGTGGTCTACCCAGACAACACCCAGGGGAAAGCGCCTTGGATACATTGGATTAGGCCAAATGGGGTCTACCCAGGTAAAAACGTCCAGGGGAAGCATTTTGGGTAACAACAGATTATGCCAAGTGTAGTCCATCCAGGCAGAAAACATCTAGTGGAAGCACCTTGTATAAGAAATTGTAATCAACAAGTATGGTCTGATCAAGCAAAAATATCAGAGGGAAGTGCCTTGGATCCTGAATAATTTGTTATTCTATAATCATTGTTCAGTAGGGCAATGAGTATAACAACAATAGCCATCTTCTCACTGAAGGGGTACATGTGATTTATAAAGTCTGATTTTGTTTGTTATACAAAACCCACTCAGGAGGAAACCTCCTCGGGCCACCACTCCAGCTCAAGTAGGGGGGGGACAATACGCATTGAGGAGTCCGAAGGAACAATGCACCAGAACCAGAGACCGTGCAATGGGTGTCTGTGATTCCCTATTTTGAAAAGCAGAAAGAACCCAATAGGAGGAATCATGGGTCAGTAGTAATGGGTAGAAATCCCCATCTGCTTTACTCATGAACACCATGTGTGGCAGTCCTTTATATGTATAACAGTGATCAAAGAATATATATATATATACACACACACACACACACACAACTGGATAAGTGGTTGGTGGTCTTACAGAAACACCCCATCTAAACAGTGAGCATTATAGAAGTATACAGATTTAATGTTAATATTATAATAATAATAAGCATATATAACCAGGCAACACCCATCACCAGGTGAGATCCTGAAATATGATGTATATCAAACAAATAATATAAAAAAGAATAATATGTCAACTTACCACAGTCAAAGGGGAACAGACTTGTGTAGAATTGCCAAAGCAGGAAGACACAGCTAAGTTGTGCAGATAATGTGTGAGAAATGTATTAGAAGTTGTCCACATACTAACCTGAACAATCTCTTCCAAAAGATGGCAGTTTCAAGCAGCTAAAGACATAGTTAGACTAAGAAGTTGGTTTGAAGGAACATTATGTAGACGGCAACTTTTCATGGACAAATGAGAATATGCCAGTCATATCAGTTAATGAACACAGCCAAGTGAGCGTAATAGGTGATTGAACATGGAAAACAAGAATTCCATGGAACAAATAGACAGGAAGGAGAACCACACATAAAAGGCAGTACAAGCCACGCAGGGAAGGAACTCGACAAAGTAGTCAATCCAGACCTGAACTGCAGTTCAGGTGGGAAATGGAAGTTAAGGAATTTGGAGAAAAGGCTAAACAATTAACCATTTTGCAGTGGGCTTGGTATAAAATACACAAGTTCATGTACACATTTGTATTAGTTAAGTAATTATGCTATAACTTTTAATGCAGTATACATATCTTCGCAAAATTTGGTAGACTTTTAGTAAACATTACAAATCTTTTGTACACATAAAATTAGATTTTTTAATATAGTATATTTACTAAATATTTGTTTGTGAATATAGAGTCTGTTTCATTACTAGTCTGAATACAAACTGATTTTCACGTTATGATCAAAACACTATTCTTTATCCTAAAAATCTCTAATATCATGTATAATCTCTAAACCTCCTAAATACATTTCAAACATTTGTTTTCAGTAAAACCTTATTTGATTTATTATTTTCTCTACCCTAATTCTATACGGGATCCGTCAATTTGACCGACCGCATAACCACCATAAAAAATTAGGAAATGAATATAAATTATGCTTTTTTTGTTCCAGAATGTCTACAAATTATAACACAAAAACACAAATGTTTAGTGTAAATAGTTTAAATCTCATAACGCTATACATTTATATATATTTATTATTTTTATTATATTCACCTTCCAGTCATGCCTGGCTAACATTACTGAATTTGCAATGGTGCAGCACACATATAAGACTGGCCTTTACAAAGTGACCAATATTGGCTGTGTTTTAGTGGACTAGTATTTTGTAAAATACAGTCACATTTTAGTTAAAATACATTATAAGTGTATATACATTATTACTATTTACAAATAAGTTTAAAAACTTATTTTTACTTAAAACATAGAACAGTAAATAAAGAAGTATAG